AATACACTAATAAACCCATGTGAAATATTTACCGTATATACAGCGTACATATACTTTGCTCCAATCAAATATTTGTTACAAATAATGACTTCTTTTTAATACGTGATCGGCACGTGCAAGTGGCACGTAATACGATTATCTGAATATATGCGGGGAAAACATTCACAAGTTAATAGGATTACGCGATGCAGTGGCCGAAAATATATGGAATATATATTCTTTTAATTTCTCAAAAATTAGTTTCTTTAAAAGTTTTTCTCTTTCGAAAGCCCCTCTCATAGCACGCATGAAAAGAATCGGAACGTTATAGAAAAGCAAAGCGTTACAGAAAATAGAAATGTTTTACACATTGTATTATAAAAATTATTAGATATTAAATTTTGGCCATCAATATAAACGATTTTGTCATGCGGATTTTGTTAATGCAGATGGAAACTTTAAACCTTTGCAGTCGTGCATATTAGATGGTCTGTTTTATAAACGAGTTATACATTCATTTGCATTATCCATAATATGATGGAAAATCTGAATGTACGTACCACAATATTTATATGCGATTTTTTTTGTTTTGTAGTAATATAAATTAAAAAGAAATTGCACGAAATGCATGGCTGAAATAACGGTTGTATATTTCATAAAAAGCTATAGCGTATTTTCAATCGCAAAAAGTCATAATACTAATTTTTTATGTTGTATTATTTTTTGTTCTTATTAAAATATGTTTATTAATTTAATTCAATTTACTTTTTAATTTTATACTTTTTTTTATTTTATACTTTATTCCAAAGAGAAACTTTCTTCTTTTTTTTTCATATTTTCCGCATAAATTTTATGGATATCGTTTTAATGAGTCATTTCCGCATTGAGGATTATACAATGGTTAAATGAAAAATATAGAAATGTATCAAAGCAGGATAAAACAAAAGTTTAAGACTTATCGCAAACTTAAAACCTCTCAATTTATCGTGAAATTATCGCTTCTTGTGAAATGCTTAAGCTCTAAATTGCTCTGGCTCCCATTAAAGTTCGCTCTCGAAGTTCGAAAAGACCGAGGCAAGGCTTAATCTCCTTCTTATACACTTGGTTGATCGCGTCGAAGCTTTTTCAAGATATTCAACGACAATAATCATTACGGAAGAAATAGAAGGAACGTAGGAAACAATGACGAGTACGAAGCGGGAGACGTGCGAACGTATTTTTTTGCATAGTTTTTTTACATGTAATTAGCGGGATGAAAACTGGATAAATCTTTTCGTTTATCTCCATTTTAGCTTAAGAAAATTAAAATTAAATATGGATCAATTCTTCTCTCTCTCTTCTCGTTAAATTCTTGTAAAAGAAACACTGCAGATTGCGTTATTACTTGAGGAGACCTTAAATTAATTATCACACTGAAAGAGAAAAGATTGCTGTAACAATTTAGATAATAAAATATGGCATAGCATTTTTATATGACTGCAACAACCATATGAAAATGCTATGCCATATTTTATTATCTAAATTGTTACAGCTGTACGGAATGAATTAATATTATATAATAGTATAATTTCTATATTTCCACATTTTTTCATTTTGAAGACTTTAGGATATTTTTACAAAATCCTGAATAAAAGTATTAAAAGAAGAGTAAATTAAATTCGATCAAATTCAACTTTAGCTTTCCGCATTGCAATACGTACCGGTTCTGAAATTTCATAATTAATCGACAAAAGACTAAAGAGCGAAACTGAGATGTACGACGATGCTGGAGAATACCACAAGATAACATTTTTTGTATATCGATGCGCTGACCAGGTTTACTGTAATGACGTTAATGCGGCTTTAATAACGCCAATCCGGTGGTCTCCCCAACGTGGATTATTACTCTCGGGCCAATTACAGCTCTTGCGTTCGACGGAGATGGAGACACGACTCATTTTCGCTTGGATGCAAAACATGAGAGATTTTCTTTCGACTTGCAAGAATTATGTCTCGAGGCAGTATCATCTTTTTGTCGCGCGATCGCGGCGGGCATTGTAATATCGCGTCTCGCGGAGATATCGAATGAAGCAGTCTTTATCGCGAGGTTGAATTTTTTCCTTGGATAAAGACGTATTTCAATGAGAAAGTCTGCTTTCAATGAGAGAAAGCTTACATAATGAGATTGAGGCAAATATCACGCGATAATGATAGATCTTATAACTTAGAAATTTTTAACTTGAATTCTCTTTCTCATCTTCTTTTAAATGATGAATCATATATTTTATATTGCCTTATTAACGTATTTAAAATATTATAATGTAATATACAGAATAATGACTTTTGGAGTCGCTTATGCAACTCTATGATGTTCTAGAAAGATATTGGATTTGTTAAATTCGCATTACACTGTGACATTTCTAATTTTTGTACGAGATATTGTAAACCGAAGTTATTTAATTTTTAATTGAAGCTTGGAAACCGTAAATCGAATGCATTCGTGCATCTCAAGCAAACTATGTAACCATCTCGCTACGAATGCCGTTCGCGCATTTTCCGTCCGAGAGAACGTGAAGTGCATGCCAGCGGTGATTTTTAATCAAAACTCAAGTACTCGTTAGATTACGTGATCACCCGTATATACTCCGCCATAATCGTGGAAAGTTCGTTGGAACTGTTGGAAGAAGCGTATATGTGAGCCGAGACGTCTTTAAAAACTGGAAATAAGTCCAGCTCGTGATATTTTCCAGCAGAACAGAGATAACATCGACAATGAATTACATTCTTAACCCTTACCGTACTAATACGGGTAACTAGTGACCGAGCGATTCCTGTTCGTGCAAGTTTCTTTGAGTCTTTCGGTAATTATAAATTATACTACATTTTATTATGTTCCAAACTAAAGAGTCAATATTTATTCTAGAAAGTTGAAAGTATGTTGGTGAATTTTTAGAGATTTTTTTTATTATTTTGAAGAGGCGAAAAAACGAAGATTTGAAGTGATCCTTGATGGTATGGATGAGGCACTAAATTGTAGATGGTATGGTAAGGGTTAACATATCAAGAAATAAGGAATTTACACAAATACGACACGCTTGCCAAATGCTCATAAAACCTGCTTTGCCTTTAATACTGCAAAACTCTGTTTCGATATACGTAAAACGCTTTCCTATATTTTTGTTTGAAATATTTCGCATTTTGTATTTTGCGTTGAACCGATCATGTGTCCAGGAGCTTTTTTACCATAAAATCGTCTACAGATATCGAGTAACATTGGCTAAATAATACAAAAAACGAAAAAATATTACAGACGTCATCAGCATTGAATAACATACGATATTTGATCATAGCTAGAAAACATTTTACCATTTAAAATTTTCAGGAATGTTTCAGCATCGTTTTGTAATACAAATATATAGCTAGATCAGGAATCTACGTATCGTCAATAATACTGCAAATAATAAAAATAAATAAAGAACAAACGGATATTGGCACAGTGATCGGTACGTAATGCTCTTAAAACAGCTTTATCTAACATAGATAAAATGAAATTTGTACATGTTTCGGTTAGTTTTCTAGCCTTCTTCAGCAAAAACATGGCACCGATTTTTAATTTATCTTGGGCTGACATTTACGAGGAGATAGTGGAGTCTTTGCTTTAGATTGTCATAGGAAAAGAAAATTTTTATTGCTTTTTAATCTATAACGGTTCAATTTATTCATCACTCATAACTGTCTTTATATTCAGATGAACTCCAGATCTCCACGAAAGAAAAAATTCATGGGAGTCCGCTGGACGTAACATGGCAAAAGAAAATTTGTATTGCTTTTTAAGCTGTAACGGCACAATTTATCCATTACATCCTAAAATATTCTAAATATCGTATGTTACACCGCAGATTGCCGTATTCAGGTATTGTTAAATATCAATGCGCGTTGAAAGTAAAATCATTAACGGTACTTAGAACACTCTCGTCATGAGCGGGATCAAACGTAAACCCAGTATTAAATAACATTTTCAAAATATTATAGTTTTTTTTTGCACAAGGCACAAACATCGCAGAAAATGCACCACAGCTACAATTGACTATCGTCACAATCATGATAAAATTCGAGGAACGCTCGCATAATAATAGTAAAGAAATTAAATATACAACAAAATTTAGCGAGTTTTTCTGCATTTTCGATATCGTGTGAATTATTTTAAATTTGAACCAAGGCGACACGCGTACCAAGAGATAAACCCGAGTTCCGAGATTATAGTATGCTGCTGTTAATTGGAACGGCTCTTTCGTGAATAAAGAGAGGAAAATGTCGAGGAAAATGGGTAAAAGAGAATCTTGTATATCAGGTTCAGCGTTATCTAATTTTCTATGAACCTATCTCCTTCGCAGAGATGCACCTGTAAAATTTTTCTCTTTCCCATTTCTCTCCTCACAGTTCACGTAAAAAGCAGCAGTAGCAGCGGTTCGTCTCTATTTCCAAAATCTCTCTCTATACGCGATCACGCATCAAAATTATCGAAATTAATTGGATCTCCTTGATTGGACACCTAAATCAGTGCAGTTGATTGACACGCTTAAATTAGTATGCAATTAATCAATTGCACAAAGAGATTGGAAATATAGAGTAATTATCTCCTGCGCAAATGAGAAACAGCTTAAAGTAGCTATCTCCGAATAAATGCGCATATGTATAGACAAATTTCCGTGTTTCTTTCAATTACTTTTTTTTTATAAATGCAGTGATTAATAACTGATATTCTTCGTGCAACGTGTACCTTATGCATTTATCAATTATGTAATTTGTTTTAATTTCTGTGTAGCTTTACATACAAAAGAAGATAAAAATTTGTTATTGGACGAAGTAGTATTTATTTCATATATAAATTTTGATCTCAAGCTGAATTACGCAAGAATCATAAAAACGAATCGAAAAATCAGTCTATGGCGCGAAACCATCTTTCGATTTGTGTATCGAAATGCTAAGGGCTAAAATCAGGATTATGATCAAAGTGCAAGGATGCATAAAAAATAACTAACCTCAATTCTCCGTGGCTATTAGATCGCTTATCACTGTTCTCCTCGTCCTCGTCGTCCTCGTCGTCCCTCGAGGTAACCAGCGATTGGGGAACCGAAGAGGGAGCGCTACTGCCGGAATCAGGTCCGGGACCTATCCTCGAACCAGAAGCACCACCGGAAGACTGCACCTGACCACCCTCCACCTGCCCTTCCTCCTTTTCCACCCGATCTACCTGCAATTTCATAATAAATTTCATACGTAAATATTTCTTTTAAAATTTACCCTGAAAATATAGTTGTGATACAATACAATGTTTTCAGGGTAAATTTTAAAAGAAATATCTATCCGTACATCACCTAAATTTTAATAAAAATATCGTTACTTATATAAATTGATGGTGATTGCGGATAGACAGTCGATTTAATTTCTTTTTCATTATTTGAATAAATTATTTCAATTCGTACATTGTGTAAATTTAATTGAAGGTTTTAATTTAATATCAAATAATATAATATAAAATAAAATTGTATTTAAACAGTTTATTAGAAGATTTATTGAAAGATACAAACTTTCGAATTTTGGTTCACGCAAACCGCTGATAGCGTGACATTCATTCATTCATTCATTCATTCATATGCTTTATTGCAGAGCTGGGATTTAGTTGCATATTTCGGCTCGATTTCGTTGGCGACGCCCACTGTTCCCCTTTTGCCGCGCATTGTCTAACAACGAATCGTCGAATGCTTGTAAACAACGCGCGTACCGCTTCATCTCAGCAGCGTTAATAATTCCTATTATTAACTGTATTATACGAATGGAACTGATGAATCTCCCTCAACTTAAATAATGAATTAAAACTTTCTTTTTAGAATAATTTTAAATTAATAATTGAAAATATTGTTATTATTAATAATGATAGTAATAATATAATATAGTATTTTTATTATTAATATATTATACACATATATTAATAATAATATGTTAATATTATTACAAGCATCTCCGATTCATTGTTAGAGAGAGAGAGAGAGGCAATGCGCGGCAAGAGGGGCGTCGCCAACGAAATCGAGCCGAAATGTGCAACTAAATCCCAGCTCTGCTTTATTGCAATGTATAAAATTTATACATAACAAATGGCAAGACATCAGTAAAATTGCTGTTACAAGTCGGCCAATAAAACGATTAAACAATATATTATGTTAGATATAAAAGAAAATATACACGCAAAAATAAACAAAAATCAAAAATAAGTAACCAAAAATAAACCTATTCAAAAATTATTAACAATAACTAGAACATTTGCATTACATTTACCTTACATTACAAACATTTGCATTATATTTGCGTTTGCATCATCGTTATAAAGTCGCAAGAGATGCAATGAAATCCGCGGCAGAAGAATGAAAAGAAGTCTGAGAAGGAGAGTCTTTAACGAAAGGTGGGAGCATGTTGAAGAATTTAACCAAAGTACAGAAAAAGCTGCACAGAATTTGACAGAGCGATGAGAGAGAATGATAGGAGATCGTGAAAGCGGGTGTCAGGGGAGTTAAAGGAGGAGTAAAGTTCGGAATTAAAATGCAGGAGATTACGCAGATAAGGAGGAGTACCGGATCTGAGGAGACAGAAAGTAAGATAACATAAATGAAGGACAAAGCGTTGCCAGATTTTAAGCCATCCGGAGCTTACATATAGAGGAGTAACATGATCAAATTTACGAATACAATATGCAAAACAAAGACAGGAATTTTTGATATGCTAAATACGATTAAGCAATTGCTGATTAAGAGTAGGAATGTATGCTACGTCGGCGTAGTCGAATAAGGAAATAACCAGCAATTGTGAGACATGAAATTTTTGTGACGTAGAAAGAATATGGCGAATTTATTTATTTTTATTATTTGTTACGGGAATTTTCATTATTATTACCTTTAATACTGCAAAGCTCTGTTTCGATATACGTAAAACGCTTTCCTATATTTGTTTTTTGTTTTTTCCTGTATTTTTGTTTGAAATATTTCGTATTTCGCGCGTACATGTCGCGCAATATCGTATTTTGTGTTAAAGAACCGATCATGTGTCTAGGAGCTTTTTTTACCAGAATCGCCCATAGATACCCAATATCATTGGCTAAATACAAAAGGCCATAAATATCACAAACGCCAGCATTCAATAACATACGATATTTGATCATAAAACCAGAAAGCATTTTACCATTTAAAATTTTCGGGAATTTTTTGACGTCATTTTGTAATAAAAAGTAGCTAGATTAGGAAGCTACGTATCGTTAATAATACTGCAAAGCTCTGTTTCGAAATATGTAAAACGCTTTACTATATTTTTATATCTACACAGATTTTTATCTGTTATTCGTTGTCACTGGAATTGCCAACCATTACCAATTGAATAAAAAGATTGAGTTGCCACACTCTGCCGTCTTGCCATGAAGAAGTGAGAATATACGAGGGTCGTCTGAAAAGTTTTGAGCCTCATGAAGATGGCGTTACTCGTCAAAGCCATTCTGGTATTATAACCGTGATACTTATACGAAAGATATCTGTGACAATTGTGGCCACTTTGGACGTTCAGTTCTTGTTTGACAATCATTTGTGTCGTCATTTTGTAAAAATGGAAAAAATTGAATATTGTGCTATAATTAAATTCTTGCATTTCAAAGGCAATACGTCTACGCAAATTAAAGCTGAGTTGGACGCTGTTTACGGGGACTTTGTCCCATCATTTGCCACCGTGAAAAGATGGGTAGCTGAATTTACCAAGTTTATTTTCGCACTAACAATCGCGCAAAAAACTCTCAAAAACTTAGCTCTTATTTGTTTTTTCCTATATTTGTGTTTGAAATATTTCGTATTTCGTATTTCGTATATGTCGCGCTTAAATCAATATCCTATTTTGCCGTTGGAGAACCGATCACGTGTCCAGGAGCTCATCAAGCCGTATCCAGACCAAGCAAACAAGCACGAACAAATACGTACAAACAAGCTGCTTCAGTAAGTACAAACGGCATCTACGTCGCGAGTGCTTATATTTGTTCGTGTTCGTTTGCTCAGGATTCGAGTTCAAATCATTGATCGGTATGGCATAAAAATGTTCTCGTTTTTCACCCTGTGACTGATCTTGCATACATAAAAAGCCTCAACGATCAATGATCCCTTAGGATTTGGAAAGTAAAACGAAACATACATAGTATGTGATCAGAATGAGAGACTGCCAAAAAGCTAAACGTTGCGACTTTCGGCTGTTTTTCATCTCGTAACCATCGAAAATCGATACAGGAATCATGGCTAATCACGATCAGAAACTTCCGATCGGAAGTCGTAAAAGTTACGTGGTAGTTGCCCGATCTAGAGAGTGGAAAACAGAATTGTGGATACATTACGTAATCTACTTACTGTACCGGATACTTTTAATTACCTCTGACAGAGAATAGTAGCAGGAAAACAGAAAGCAAAACAAAATAAACAGGATGCTTCTACGATAAATCCAAACTTACAAGCGCATTCTCTGACTAATTGAAGACAATTTTTGCTTAACAAAAGTCACAAGCATACCACGATACTACCATTTCTACATTTTTCATAATTTTTTATTTCTTGATATTAGATATTTTGCTAAGAAATCTCAAATTAAAATTTTGTCAAAGTAATGTCTATGTGCGAATAAAAAAAGTGTATTGATACATAAAATAAAATAAAGTCTTGTCATTGAATTTTCTGTTAAAGATTAATTTATAAAATGATTTTTTTAGTTTTTTTGGATAATTCCAAAGCTCATCTTAATATTTTCATTACACACAAAAAAATATTTTGTTGCTTCAGAGTTATAGCTGTTTATTGTATCTGATAGAAAATTATGTATCATATGTATAGAATTTATAGCACAAATCTAAATTCTATCTCTGTCATCTATATGATTGGATACAATACATATCTAATATCGCGATACTTGCTAAAAATTTATCTATTTTAGCTATTTTTCGTACTTAGATAATTTTCGCTATAACTGCAAGATCACTTTTTTGAGTGTAAGAAAGGATTTTCAGCTTTGTTAGATAATCCTTTGATTATAATTAACGTTACGAGTTGTATGTCTATATATTCTACTGTTCCATGTGAACGAGAGAAAATGCGTAATTGCATGACAAAGGATGCGAAAGTTGTTTACATCTAAAGCTAGAGGTAATGTAAAACGCAATCGTGATTTCGACGTCGGAAATTATAAATTTTAATTAACGAGATGTTATATTGTTTAATCTTTAATAAACGATGTTTTCTTGTTGTTAACCAGAAAATTCGCAATTTTCCTCAATTTCGATTCCCACGAGAATTTCTATATTTCTATATAAAAACACATATATACTGTTTATTTAAAACATTTTAATACTTTTATAATTTATATTTTATATTTTTAAAATTTTCGTATTTCATATTCTAATAATGTATGTTTTAAGAGATATCAATAAATGGTTTTCACTAGATACATTTACCGGCACTCATAAATTTTCCAGCACATACATAATCGCGACTTTATATACATATAGCTCATGAAATCGATTTATCTCCCAATACCATTGCGGTTACTTAGAACCTGCATTTCGTTTTAGGATTCTTCTAGCGGTTAAATCTTTTTGTTTCGTTACAGGTCTTAGTATTCTCAGTCCAAAGCTTTAGCTGCTTAACTGGTCAAGATAGAAAATACACTACGTCTCTTTCAGAAAATGTCTTGTTTGCTGCAACTCGGTAGAATATTTATCAGAATATGACAAGTAACATTTTGTGTTTACATAATAAAAATTGTTTTTATGGATATTTAATGTAGTTATACTTTCTCCTTCGCATTGCTATCTGCGAAGGTGCCTAAATACAATGATTTTTTTCCCCTTTAATTTGCTAATATGTGAAAAGGTTTTTCTTACAAACACCGCGAGCAGAGGCGTTAGGTAAAACATAAATTATCCGTTTATATATTCAAAAGAGTTACGAGCGTGAGAAGTGTTTAATGTGTCGAAAGAAAAACGTTATGCGGATGAATACCCTTAGTATTTATATAATATTCATACATATGAATCCGACAAATGAACACAATAAATATGTAGTTTACGTATGTATAATACATAAACAGGGTGTCCCGTAAAGAGCGTAATAATTTAAAACATATATTCCTATGTTCATTTTTAAGACGAAAATTTTAATACCAAATTATCGAAGATAATTTTTG